CTTCTTTGATTATCAATCAAATATCTAAAAGGTGGAAAGTAAGGAGCGAAAGCCTAGCCCCTTACTAAACCTATCTGGAAACTCTTACGGATCAGTTAGAGAAGGTAGAATACACATATCTACCTAGGGAAGAAAATCAATTTGCTGACGCCTTGGAAAGACTAGCCTCAATGGTTAGGATTCCAACGGAAATCGAGCAAATGCCTCTAACTATAGAAAAAAGGCACAAACCAGCATACATTCAGGCTATAGAAGACGACAAAGTAGTCCAAGACGAAGAAGAAGAGGAAAAACCATGGTACACAAATATATTCAATTATGTCACCAAAGGAGAATACCCTCCCCATGCTGACAAAAGAGCAAAACAAGCATTAAGGCTTTTGACTTCCCAATATGTACTCATAGACAAAGAGCTACATAAAAGGGTACCTAAGGGTCGAGCTCTCTTATGTGTAAGAAAGAAGGATGCACAAAGAGCAATGAGGATAGTCCACGAAGGAATTTGTGGCACACATATAAATGGCAAAATGTTAGTCCAAAAAATAATGCGAGAAGGATATTATTGGACCACAATGAATAGGGATTGCCATCAATATGTAAAAAGATGCCCTAAGTGCCAAATTTATGCCAATTTACAACATGTTCCTCCATCCTTACTCTACACCTACACATCGCCATGGCCATTCTCTACATGGGGAATCGACATCATCGGCAAAATCACTCCCCCGGGAACAGGAGGCCACGAATATATCTTAGTAGCGATTGATTACTTCACAAAGTGGGTCGAAGCGCAATCATACGCTAAACTCACTACAAAACATGTAGCACTCTTTATCGAGTGAAATATTATTTATCGATACGGAGTCCCACATGAAATGATAAGTGACAATGGAACTCACTTTCAAGCCGAATGTGAAGAATTGCTACAAAAATACGGCATTCAACATCATCATCATTCTTCCCCTTATAGGCATCAAGAAAATGGAACAGTCGAGGCAGCTAATAAAAACCTAAAGAATATCATCGAGAAAATGACGGAAAATTATAAGGATTGGCCTGACAAACTTCACTTCGCATTGTGGGGTTACCACACGTCAATTTGCACATCAACAGGAAATACGCCATTTTCCTTGGTATATGGAATGGATGTCGTACAACCTATCGAACTAGAAATACCATCCCTATGCATTGCGCTAGAGAGTAAACTCGATGAAGTTGAATGGACTAGGGCAAGATATGAAGAATTAATTCTACTCGATGAGAAACAACTAGAAGCTCTGCATCACACTCAGTGTTATCAAACTCGCATGGCTAGGAATTTTAATAAGAAGGTCAAGACAAGAAACATCAAAGTAGGAGACTTGGTGTTAAAAGCACTAAGGAAAAATGTTTTAGATCCAAGGGGAAAATTTAGACCTAATTGGTCTGGACCCTACATTGTTAAAACAATCTTGTCACGAGGTGCAACAAAACTAACTGATATGGATGGCAATGAGTTCTCGAACATGACAAATCTTGACCAACTTAAGAAGTACTACCCATAGTTACTTAAGTAGGATACTCAAGAGAGCTACGTTTGGCCTGATTCCTTAAGAAAGGATACGTAGGCAACCCTTTACGGGTGCGACCACTTTTTTTTCAAAAATCTTGCATCCCAGAATTAATTAAAAATTTGAGAGAAGATCGGCGAAATATCGGCATCGCAGAGAAAACTCTGGCGCCAGACAGAGACCACCAGCGCCAGCCGATGAAACTGGCGCCTGGCGCCAGACTTTCCTGGCAGGTGCCAGTTGCAAATAAACGACGCCAATTCATAGACAAATTCTGGGCAAATTTCGGTGTTTTTCGGAAAATTTTCGACTTCCGTACTCGAAGAATTTCTGGAAGATTAATTTTTTTCGGTTTTCATTGCTTTAATAAAATAAATTTAAAGTACATAATTTAATTAAAAGCTAAAATTTCATTAATAAAATAAAATTACATTATTGATGGAATTTTAATAAAGCTGAAATAAATTAACTTTAAATAAAAATATAAACTAAGTCTAATAATTTGAAATTAAGAAATGCTCCTAATCTTTCTTTTCTTTCCTAGCCCTTTTCCAATTTTTGTCTTCTTCCTTCTCCTCATCCATAACCTTAGCTAGTAGGCATCCTTTGGAGGACCTACATTCAATCTTAGAGTAGATAGTCTCCCCTTCGGCTAGGACTCCATGCTTCTTTTCTGCCTAGACTTTTTTATCTGTGGTTTCAGCTTTCCTTTTTCCCTTATCTTTGGTAGTACTTTTCTTCCTAGGCATTGCAGGTGTTTTGAATTGAACTCTTTCACCTAAGTGTTCCTTGGCAGGAATCACCTTGTCACCTAGACGACTCTTCACATCAGTTTTACCTTGATCTTTCTTCGAATCCTTTGAAGGTTTCTTCAGCAACCACTTCTTCACATCATTGGGCAAAGAAGGAGGAACCTTTTGGGTAATCACTTCCCATAAAGGTCTAGCACTCCAATAAGCATCAAATTTGTCTACTTCAAAAGCATAACAATTTGTTTATATATTAGCAAAGAGTTGCTTACCAAGAGTGTGTCTCTCTTCTCTCTCTTCTCCATGGTTCTTCATCTTTGATCGGTTTTCTTCATCAATTTTGGATTTCAATGGCTAAGAAGAAGAAGCAGAATACTTCTACACCTCAAGTAGTGCAACAGAAGAATACTCATGAAGCTTTTGACACGATTTTGCAGAATTTAAGAAACTAGGTACATCGTTTGTTCCTAGTCCGATTCAAGAGGTGGATGAATTGGTTACTCCGGCGTCGGCGTTAGTGCACCCAGCATGTGGAGCTATTCCCAAAAGCGTTGCTGAGACCATTTCTTTGTTTGCTGAAGCTACTGCTAGGCCAGATACGAGGCATTCCAATGAAACAGTACCTAGGGTTTCTAGGTTTACTGTTCCATTGTTTGCTAGAGGAGCTGAGCAACGATCTGAGCCAATAATTCCTCCTCTTCATCCTTCACCTTCTTTGGAGCATAATACGCATAAACACAATGAGGATCGGGCTGCTCCTTTCACTGGAAATTTGGCTGCCAAAGGAGCCTCTCTGTCTTTTGTTGCTATGAAAGTCCAGGAAGGGAAGCAAATTGTTGAATTACAGGAAGCTGAGCTTGAAGCAGGTAATCAAAAATGGTCTAATGATTTAGTTTTCTTTGTGGTTGGATTTTACCCTACTATTGCAGCCCTTCTTCGTTTTTTGCTCAACAATGGAGTGATATGCAAAAACCGGATGTTTATTGGCATGATGATGGGTACTGTATCATTAATCTATGTTCTAGTGATGATAAAGATACTATACTCTGTTCTGGTCCTCATATGTTCCTTGGGAAACCAGCAATAGTGAAGCCTTGGTGTCCTAAATTTTACTTTAATGCTGAAATTATGAGAACTGTTCCTCTCTTGGTTAAGTTTCCTAATCTTCCACTTAATTGCTGGGGTTCTGACACTCTTAGCCGCATTGGTAGTTTGCTTGGAGTGCCAATTTGTTCTGATGAGTGTACTACTAGACAACTTAGAGTGTCTTTTGCTAGGGTCCTAATTGAAATTAATGTTACAAAGCCTATGCCTAACTCTGTCTTGGTTGAGATTCCTTCAAAGGAGCTATTGGAGCTCAAGGTAGTGTATGAGTGGGCTCCACCTTTTTGTTCTAAGTGCAACAAGGTTGGTCATGATTTCTCTATTAAACCTGCTTTTGATAAGCCTAAGCAGGTTCATAAGCAGCCAGCTCCTATTGCTCCTAAGCAAAAGCAGGCCTGGGTTCCTAAGCCTAGCCAAGCTCCTGCTCCTATTGTTGATGTTGGTGCTTCTGTTCATGGACAATCTGTCATTACTCCACAGGTTCATACCTCTCAAAATTCAGATGAGGGGTGGAGAATAGTTGGAAGGAAGACAAAAAGCCAGCAAACTAGAGTTCATCAGCCTGCCTTTACCTCTAATGCTTTTGTTGCTTTATTTGCAAATGAAATGGATGTTGCAGGTGGTTTCACTATAAATCCAAGCGGGGGTGAGGTTAATCCCCATTTGGTGTCATGATTTACTCTATTTGGAATGTCAGGGGCCTAAATGACCCTGGCAAAGTTGCCTCTGTAAAGAGGTTGCTTCATTCCCATTCAGTTGATGTTGTTGGTCTTCTTGAAACAAAAATTAAATTGAAAAATGTTCTCACTTATCAAAGGAAGTTTGGCTCTTCTTGGCATTGGATGTGCAATTATGATCATTTTCCCAAAGGGAGGATCTGGCTTGGTTGGAATGAAGATAGAGTAACTGTTAGTGTCTTGAAGATTCAAGAACAGTTCATTCATTTTAGTGTCTCTTCTAAGGACCTCTCTACTCAAATTCATCTCACTGTTGTCTATGGGCTTCACTCCATTCATGATAGGCTTCCTTTGTGGGAAGGAATTAGAAGCATCTCTATTCATCATTCTCCTTGGCTTTGTGCTGGTGACTATAACTCTGTTCTTCATACTTCAGATAGGCTTCATAGGCATGATGTTATTGATTATGAGACTAGAGATTTCCAGAGTCTAGTTGATGATTTGGACCTCACTGAGGTCAAGAGCAGAGGAGCCTTCTACTCTTGGTCAAATAAGGCTCACACTGGTCCTAGAACTCTTTCTAGGATTGATAGAGTCTTTGGTAACCAAGCTTGGCTGGCCTCTCATGGGCATGTTGAGACTGTCTATCTCCCTTCTCTTTATCTGATCATAGTCTAGTTCTGTTGGATGTATGTTCTGCCCCTGCTGGGAGAGGCGGACCTTTCAGGTTTCTAAACTGTATTGCTGATCACCCTGACTTCCTTGATATTGTTTCTCAGGCTTGGGGTTCTGGTAGTTCTGTTTGGCAGAAACTTAAGTCTGTGAAGTATAGTATCAAGTCTCTTAATAGCAAGCAGTTTGGCAACATTGAGGAAAAGATTCATCAAGCTAATGTTGAGCTTTCTTGAATTCAGAACATAATGGCTCAGAATCCTAATGATTTGGATTTATATGCTAAAGAATTCGATGCTATTAAGGTTGTCAAGCACTGGAATGATATTTAGGAAAGCATCTTTAAACAAAAATCTAGGATTAACTGGATTAAGCTTGGAGATGGCAATTCTCATTATTTCTTCTCTGTGATGAAGAATAGACAAACAAGGAATAGAATTGACTCCATCTTTGACTCTAATCAGGTGTTGCTCAAGGATCCGGATGATATTTCTCATGAAATTATCTCCTTCTAAGTCTCTTTTAGGGACTCAGGCCCTTTGGCTTCCTATTGTTGACCTTGTTACTATGAGGAGGGGTAAACAGCTTAGCTCTGTTTCTCGGAGCTATCTCATTAGGCCTATTTCTCATGCTGAAATTGATGCTTCCCTTAAGGGAATTGATAACACTAAAGCTCCTGGTATTGATGGCTTTAACTCCTTCTTCTTTAAGAGATCTTGGCATATTGTGAAAGATGATATTTATGCTAGTGTTATTGATTTCTTCACTAAAGGGACCTTGCCTAAGCAATGGAATTGTACAACTATCACTCTTGTTCCTAAAATCTTTAATGCCTCCCATGTTAAGGATTTTAGGCCTATAGCTTGTTGCACTGTGGTTTATTAGCTCATTTCTAAGGTCATAACTGCTAGACATGCTGCTATCTTTGGTGAGGTGCTTAAGGATGCTCAAGCAGGTTTCATTCCAGGCAAGCACATTGGTGACAATATCCTTCTTGCAACTGAATTGATCAAAGGCTATGATCACAAAATTATCTCTCCTAGGTGCATGGTTATGGTGGATTTGAAGAAAGCCTATGATTCAGTTGAGTAGGGATTCTTGATCACTGTTATGCAGGAGCTTGGTTTCCCTTAGAAATTTGTTAGCTGGATCTGGACTTGTCTTACTTCTGTCTCTTATTCTATTCTTATTAATGGTTTTCCTGCCCCTCCCTTTGAATCTAAGAAAGGTTTAATACAAGGCGACCCTATGTCTCCCTTTCTTTTTGCTATTAGTATGGAATACCTCTCCAGATGCCTTGATCAGCTTAGGTTAACTCCTGATTTTGACTTCCATCTTAGATGTGAAAAGTTAAACCTAACTCACATGATGTTTACTGATGATTTATTGACGTTTTCTAGAGCTGATAGTGTTTCTGTTAAGCTCCTCTTCCAAGCCTTCTTGAAATTCTCGGGTGCTTCTGGTCTTTCTGCTAATCTTAATAAAAGTGAAGTCTACTTTGGAGGAGTTTCTGTTGATGTTCAGACAGAGCTGAGGGAGCTTCTTGGTGTTTCTCAAGGTACTATCCCTTTTCGGTATCTTGGGGTCCCTCTCTCTTCCAAGAAGCTTACAATTGCTCAGTTTAGGCCTTTGAGGAGAAGGTGACTGCTAGAATCCAAGGGTGGATGGCTAAACACTTGTCTTATGCTGGGAGGCTTTAGTTGGTGAAGAGTGTGTTGTTTGGTATTCAGACATATTGGGCTCAAATGTTTATCTTGCCAAAGAAAATTTTGAAAGAGGTTGAGGCTAGATTCAGGTGCTTTCTTTGGATTGGATCCTCTACCCCTGCCAAGAAATCTTTGGTTGTTTGGAATAATGTCTATCTCCCTAAAGTTTGTGGTGGCTAGAACTTGCTTTTTCTTCCTGAATGGAATAAAGCAGCTGTCACTAAGTTACTTTGGGATATTGCTCACAAGGCTGATAATCTTTAGGTTAAGTGGGTCCATATCTATTACTTCAAGCATAAACATTGTTGGACCACCCCTACCCCTACTAAATGCTCTTCGTTCTTGAAGAAGATTCAGAGCTGTAGAGATGTTGTGAATGATCAAGGAGGATGGGATGGTTTCATACAGGGCAACAAAGTGAAAATCAAGAAGCTTTATGCTGCTATTAGGCCTCAAGTCCCTAAGGTTCCTTGGAAGAGAGTTATTGAAAGGAATAGTGTCCTTCGAACAAGTGTATTATTCTTATAGCGGCGTCAGAATTAATAGAAAGCTAATATGTTCAGTAAGGTCAAGTGATTGGAATGCCTGGGTGGAGGCCGCTTCCGATCAGTAATATTAATATAATTAATATTACAGCTTAATCTGAACTGAACCCTTCGGGTCACACCCAAGCAAAATATACGAACCAACTCGACGAATTAATTCGGAAGAAATTAATTCGTCGCCCGAGTGTTAAACATTTAGACGTCAGAATTTCGAGCTTGGAGCGTCGAAACCGAGCGTCGGAGAATCTCAAATGTCGAGCCAAAATTTAGGATTTGGCGAGACGGGAAAATGCATCAAGTAACAAGTAAAATCCTAGCCACGCAAAAGGCTAAGAATACATGCCCCAATAGAAGCATGCCACGTGGCAGCACACATGGCAAAACGCCATGTGGCAGCACACGTGGCAGCACACGTGGCCACCACGTTGGCAGCTGCCAAGTGGCAGCAGCCACGTTGGCAGCCGCCACATTGGCAGCCGCCAAGTGGCAGCGTGCCACGTGGCAGCGCCATGGTGGCGGCGCGCCACGGTGGAAACACATGTTGCTATGGCCGTGGTCCCGGGTTGATGGGTCATGGACACGGGCCAAAATAAAATGGGCCAACCGAACCCAACTTGGGGCTCAAGGTTGGGTGACACATGGTTAGTTCACATTGCATGTGAAATGCCTTGGGGACCAAGTGAGAAAGTGGTCCACACCTAACCATGTGACACTTGTCACTTGTTCCTTTGTTTATTTAACTAAGGGTTGAATTCACCAATCTTTCCATGTGGGATCTTTTTGTGAAAAGTCCCACATTGAAAGATGAGTGAAATTCACAAGGCATACTTCCTTATAAATAGTCTTGGAATGACTTGAGAATTCTTTGCTTGAGTGGGAGTTAAAAAGAGCATTCCATAATTTTGGGAAAACTCTTAAACTCATATAACACTCGGGTTTTGGTCGGACCTCCCCAGGTAGTAGACCTTAAAGTTGTGTTCGCCTTTTTGTGGGTGGATACCGTCGGAGGCGCGGCGCTTGACGTGCTCGTAGCTTTCAAGTAAGAGCACCGGTTTTTGGGCGAAGCTCGCTTCGAGGGTAAGATTTGTTATCTTTTCTTTGTGATTATTTATGCTTTCTGATTATTTATGCTTTGTGATTTTAATTATTGTGAGTGGTTCCTCGGGTAAGGGTTTGTTTCTGCGGTGAGTCGGACTCACCAAACCCCAACAGTGGTATCAGAGCCCCGCTTGTTTATTTTTATAATCATGTTTTTCAAGGTTTATTTTGGCTTAATTTTCTGGTTTAAGTTGCTAATTAGATTAGTAGCTCGGTTTTATTTATTTTAATCCCGTTTTTAATGTCAAGTTTGGCCTAAAACCCAGATTTTCGCCCAAGACTAGTGAATTTTGTGTGGAAAACGTGTTCTGGAAAGGTGTTACTCCCAAGAGGCCTGTGATTTTAGCCAAATTCTGACCAGAAATGTCTTTTTCGAGGGGTTTTTCGTTTTTGACGAAAAATTTTAAGTCTTTTCTAACCTTGAAATTAATGGCATAAATAGTTGATTATATGTTGATTATTTGCATTATTTTCTGCATTTTTATGTCCCCTTAAAGCGCACTTAATTGGTAGTATTTGATGCTTAAAGGTTGATTTATTTTCACATAATTGCAAACCAATTGCTTTTTAGTGTGAAAGTTTTATTTTTTGAGGCTTCCTAAGTGTTAAAGATTCAATCTTTATTTGTGATAAGTGATTGAAACTTTAAAAACCACTAAATTCCATGTTATTTTGTGTTAAACTTTGATGTTTTAATCTTTTTGAGTTGATTGGAAACATAAAGTTTCGATTTTTGTGATAGAAATTTGGTTATCTTCATTGTTGAAGAAATAATTTTCAAGGATTCACAAAATTTAGATGTTGGAATTTTCATTTGAACATTAAAGTTCATATTTTTCCAACTTCCCTTTACTTTGTCAAATTCTCAAGTTTAATTTAAATTGATTAAATTGAAAGTGAGAAATTGACTCAATTTTATGTTGCACCAAGCTAAACCAATTTAATTAAGAATAGTTCTTGAAATTATTTGGTTATTTGCACTTTGAAATTTTTATTAAGTTAGACTTGTTTAAAATTTTATTTTGCTCTCTAAATTAGTTCTAAAATTAATTTAGAATTAATTATTGTTGTCTCACGAAAAGGGATCAAATCCCGAGGCCATGGCACGCAAAACGAGGCATTGCATCACCTTGGCGAGCCGGGCTGCATAGCAGCCCATATGTGGCTGCCAAGGTGGCAGCGCCGCCTTACTTGCGGCCACACGCGCGGCAGCAGCCACGCACGGCAGCAGCACACGCGCGGCAGCAACACGCGGGCTGTAGCAGCCACGTGCGGCTGTGCCGTGGCAGCAGCTCGCGGCCGTGTGCCGTGGGCCGTGCGTTCGTGGTCTTGGCGTGTGTGTATGCTTGGTGCGGTGAGGTGGCTAGCCGTAGTAGGCTTGATGTTGCTTATTTTGCCGTTTTATTTATTTTAATTAATTTTGTTTATTTTAATTAAAATTTTGGGAGGCTAGGCCTCGGTTTTGAGCGGCATTGGCAAAATTTCATTTTGACAAGTTTGGGTGCTACCAACTTAATTAATTAGACTAATTAAGGAAATGCGAAATTTAGTGGGAGCTTCAATTATTAATGACGTAAATTATATAATCGGTTAAACAACTTTGACGAGTTTTAATTAGGCGTGTTAATCGGATTAACCACCTAGATTAGTTACTAGTGCGCGTGTTCTTTAAATGCATTTTATTTTGTTTTAATTTGTAAATTGCATGGGCCATTCACAAATAGTGAACGGATGAATGGAATATATATATTCTCTCTCACAGGTTTTATGAAATGGCAACTAGTGGGACCCGACTAGGATAGAAAATACAGACTACGTGCCGTTATGTATTTTTGTAAATCTAAATACGGTCTACGCACCGTTAAGTATTTTTGTACTTTAATATTTAGATCATTCCTAGTTGTAGACGACGTATCTTGGAAGACAAAGCCTTGAATTGCAAATGAAGACCTTTTGAAGATATGAAGATCTCAAGGGGTCATGCTAGTTGCCAATATGCATCTATAATTTCGCTTTATATTTTATGCTTATATATATATATATATATATATATATATATATATATATATATATATATATATATATATATATATATATATATATATATATATATATATATATATATATATATATATGTGTGTGTGTGTGTGTGTGTGTGAATTATTCGTTAGATGCATGTATAGGTTTTCTTGATTTTGCGATGATTAGTTAAGTTCACTTAAATCAACCAACATAGAAATCCTAGGTCCCTAATAATATTGAGTCAAACTTGCCTTCCCAAAACAACACTTACTAACTGAACGAGAGTGATGGCAGGCTACGCTAAAGCGAGGTGCCATCACTTCTCCAAGGGGCATAAGGCACACTGGGTGTGCACGTTGGTTTTGGTTTAACTCATCGGTATGAGTGCGGAGTCCTCACATACCGTGGAAAAAGAGATACATCGTCAAAGATGCATTAGATGCGACGATTGTCTAACCAAGAGTGGCTTAGAGCCATTAGCAAGGAAATGCTTACCCTAGAAGATTGAGTTTCTAAGACAAGCCAAAGCATGCTTAACCACTTTTTGTTTCTTCGGATCTTGGAATCGCCTTATTTTCGCCAAATAGGGATAATTATTATGCGTAAATAAGACGTTTAATAAGATTGAAGTTTGCATGAATGCTATTAAATTTCAAACTTATTATGTTCTTGATAAATGGTTATACTTAGCACTTATATTTATAGTATTCTAAATCAAATA